TGTACAGCACCAAAAAAGGGGCTAATAAATGTTTTTCACATTTGGAAACAAACCGAATTCGACAGAAAGCCGATACTCTGGATGCGTTTGCTATTGGATCCACTTTATTATGATTGTGCTCCAATAATAATGTTGTTGTTGTTGTTGTTGTACGCTCCGTTCCTCTGGCTCCGGTCTGTTCCACATCCCCCGCCCCAACCGCCCTACCATCGGTGGCCTTCAGCCTCTCAGCCCCGAGGCTCTGGAACTCCATCCCCAGTGCCTTCGCCGCTTCCTCCCTTTCCTCCTTCAGGGCCGGTCTCAAAACCTTTCTCTTTGACCTTCAGCCTTCAGCTCCGCTCTCGACTCTCTACCCCCTCCTCGCCCCCTCCCTTCCCTCCCCTCACCCTGACCATTTCCCCCTCCTCGCCCCCTCCCTTCCCTCCCCCTGACCATCTCCCCCCAGTGCTCGGGGCCTTGGGACGTCATCCTGACGTGAAAGGCGCTCTATAAATGAAATCTTGTTGTTGTTGTTGTTTAGTTGCCGCCCTGACCCGAGCCTCCCCCTCCCTTCTAAATGTCTCTCCTCCCACCCCCCCCCCCCCCCCACCACCACCCCCCCCATCCTTACGAACGTGGCGGCGGGATGGCCTTCATATCCAAAGCCTCCCTACTCCTCTGGCTGCTTCCCCTCCTTCGAGCACCTCACCCTCTTCTATCCCTCTCTCCCTTTGGAAAATTCTCCTTGTCTACCGCCCCCCTAAGCCCCCCGGCTCCTTCCACACAGACATCTACACTCTCCTCTCTTCCCTGTCCCTCTGCTCCGAACGCCTGCTCGTAGTTGGCGATTTCAACGTCCACCTAAACTCCCCCTCGCACCACTTCTGCCGATGTCACTGCCCTCCTCTCCTCCCTAAACCTCACCCTCCACATAATTCACCCACCCACAACCGCGGTCATGCACCTGACGTCGTCATCACCCACGGCCTTGACATTTCCGACCTCAGCATAGTGGACAAGGCCATCTCGGACCACTTCCTCATCTCCTTCTCCTCTCACGTCCCTCTCTCGTGCACCAAGCCCTCAACCATCCTCTACCGCCCTTCGAAAAGGCCACTCCCTGAGACCCTCACAAAGGGCCTCTCATCATCAAACATCCTCTCCCTCTGGCCTTCCGCACGCGGAGGTCCTGAAGCCGCCGTCCAGCTGCTCCATGATCGCTTCTCCTCCACCTTCAAGTCCCGGGTCCCCCTGAACTCCAGGACCATCTCCAAACCCACCCGTGACCTGGTGAAGGGCACACGTCTGAGACAGTTACCGTGGGATCCAAACGAGAGGTGTTGAGAGCCCACAATATGCGGATGACACCCAATAATAACACAATAACAGTCACTACAACAGTAACAGCACTAACAAGAAGGACAACGGTTGGCGGAGACATTGCGCCCTCCTCACAGGGCAGCGTCACAGCGCGTTTGAAGTCGGCGGAGCCCGACTCCGGGCCGCGGGAATAACGGCACTAACAACAACAACAGCAAATACTAACAGTCATCACAATAACATAACAACAACAATAACACCAATAACAACAACAACAATAACAACAATAACAACAACAACAATAACAACAACAACAATAGCAAATACTAACAGTCATTACAACAACAATAACAACAACAATAACAACAACAATAATAATAAGAACAACAAGAACAATAACAACAATAACAACAACAGCAATAACAACAACAGCAATAACAACAACAATAACAATAAGAACAAAATAAAAACAACAACAATAACAACAACAATACTAACAACAATTACAATAACAACAACAATAGCAACAATACCAATAACAACAATAACAACAATAACAACAATAACAACAACAATAACAACAATAACAACAATAACAACAACAATAACAACAACAACAACAATACTAACAACACTAACAACAATAGCAACAATAACAACAACAACAATAACAACAAAAATATCAACAACAACAATAACAGCACCAATAATAACAGTGGGCGGGTCTCTGTCCGGCACTTGTCAATCAGCCGTTGTCAGGGAGACAGGGGGCGTGTCTCTGTCCGGCGCTTGTCAATCAGCCGTTGTCAGGGAGACAGTGGGCGGGTCTCTGTCCGGCACTTGTCAATCAGCCGTTGTCAGGGAGACAGTGGGCGTGTCTCTCACCCTTCCGCCCATCACTGGTTACCGGGGAGACAGCGCGCGTTTCCCTGTCGGCGAAAGAGCGACGTGTGGACGTCGCCGCGTGGGCAACCGGATTGCGTCTCTACGTCATCTGCGTGTGTCGTCATTGGGAGCGTCGGCTCGAGACGGGGAGGAGGGGGGGAAACAATGGCGGCGGTTCCCGCGGTGACAGAGAAGAGACCGAGAGAGAGAGAGAGAGAGCGCAGGAGGTCAGTCGCTGCACACACGGGGCCGCGCTCTGCCGCTCTCCCTCAGTGACATCACAACCACTGACCCCGGAAACTACAGCTCCCGGCATGCCCCGCGGCTCAGCCCCTCCCGGTGGCGGGGTCGGGCCGCGCGGGGCAGTCTGGGAGCTGTAGTCAGAGAGACGGTGACAACAGCCATTGACCCATCGACACGACCCTCTGTCGGTCCCTCTCTGTGTCCCTCTCTATGTCTGTGTCCCTCTCTGTGTCCCTCTCTGTGTCTGTGTCCCTCTCTGTGTCTGTGTCCCTCTCTGTGTCTGTGTCCCTCTCTGTGTCTGTGTCCCTCTCTGTGTCTGTGTCCCTCTCTGTGTCTGTGTCCCTCTCTGTGTCGCTCTCTATGTCTGTGTCCCTCTCTGTGTCCCTCTCTATGTCTGTGTCCCTCTCTGTGTCTGTGTCCCTCTCTGTGTCTGTGTCCCTCTCTATGTCTGTGTCCCTCTCTGTGTCTGTGTCCCTCTCTGTGTCCCTCTCTATGTCTGTGTCCCTCTCTGTGTCTGTGTCCCTCTCTGTGTCTGTGTCCCGCTCTGTCTGTGCCCTCTCTGTGTCTCTGTCCCTCTCTGTGTCCCTCTCTGTGTCTGTGTCCCTCTCTGTGTCTCTGTCTGTCCCTCTCTGTGTCTCTGTCTGTCCCTCTCTGTGTCTGTGTCCCTCTCTGTGTCTGTGTCCCTCTCTGTGTCTGTGTCCCTCTCTGTGTCTGTGTCCCTCTCTGTGTCTGTGTCCCTCTCTGTGTCTGTGTCCCTCTCTGTGTCTGTGTCCCTCTCTGTGTCTGTGTCCCTCTCTGTGTCTGTGTCCCTCTCTGTGTCTCTGTCTGTCCCTCTCTGTGTCTGTGTCCCTCTCTGTGTCTGTGTCCCTCTCTGTGTCTGTGTCCCTCTCTGTGTCTGTGTCCCTCTCTGTGTCTGTGTCCCTCTCTGTGTCTGTGTCCCTCTCTGTGTCTGTGTCCCTCTCTGTGTCTGTGTCCCTCTCTGTGTCTGTGTCCCTCTCTGTGTCTGTGTCCCTCTCTGTGTCTGTGTCCCTCTCTGTGTCTGTGTCCCTCTCTGTGTCTGTGTCCCTCTCTGTGTCTGTGCCCTCTCTGTGTCTGTGTCCCTCTCTGTGTCTGTGTCCCTCTCTGTGTCTGTGCCCTCTCTGTGTCTGTGTCCCTCTCTGTGTCTGTGTCCCTCTCTGTGTCTGTGTCCCTCTCTGTGTCTGTGTCCCTCTCTGTGTCTGTGTCCCTCTCTGTGTCTGTGTCCCTCTCTGTGTCTGTGTCCCTCTCTGTGTCTGTGTCCCTCTCTGTGTCTGTGTCCCTCTCTGTGTCTGTGTCCCTCTCTGTGTCTGTGTCCCTCTCTGTGTCTGTGTCCCTCTCTGTGTCTGGCTCTCTCGCTGACTCAGGAGTGGTAGGTCCTGACTCTGATACTCATCGTTGGTTTTTGTGTTAGTGTAAGTGGAGGATGGATTTGACTTGAAGATCCTCTCACTGCCTGGACCTCCCTCCCTCTCCGACCTCCTCACTCCCCTAAATCAGCTCCTCCTCATCCCTCGGCCCTCCACTCCGCCATTGGAGGTCGCGCATTCAGTCACTTCACCCCAAAACTCTGGAACACTCTCCCTCAGGCCTTGCCCGCTCTCACCGCCTGAAAGCCCTCCTTTTCGAACAGGTTTACAGTCACCTCCCCTCAAAGCCCCACATCCCAGCTCGGAGTCCGGCTCCACCACTGCTCAGAGCTCTGAGACAGTGTCCTGTATGAAGGGCACTACACAAGTGCAAACTGTTGTTTAAAGGGCTCACTCTCGCGCACACACGCAGTCTCTCTCTGCCTCTCTCACACAGTCCCTCTCTCACACTGAGTCTCTCTCTGTCTCACACACACACACACACACACACATACAGTCTCTGTGTCTCTCACACAACACATACAGTCTCTGTCTCTCACAAGTGCAGAATATCTCTTACATTCACACAGTGTCTCTCTCACACACACACAGTGTCCCTCTCTCTGTCTCTTTCTAACAGACGCACACATTCTTCTGTCTCTCTCTCACATATCCACACACAGACTCTCGCAGCCAATGACCTATCCTCCTCGGTGACCCCTCTCCACAGCTCTCTCTCCTTCACTCCTGAATCCCTCACACCCCTTTCTTCCCGAACCGTCTTCTGCTCAATCCACAAACAAAACTACGTAAGTTTGTCTCACACACCCCAGGTTCCTTTTCCACTTCCCGTCTTAGTCTCATTAGCTCTTTCTTGATTGCCTTTTTAATTCTTTAAGCGATATCTTACAGTACTCGCACACATATAATATAGAGAGAAATAATTACAATAACAACAAGATTTCATTTATAGAGCGCCTTTCACGTCGGGAGAACATCCCAAGGCGCTGTACAGTTGGATCAGGACCCGAGCATTGGTGGGGGGCGAAATGGTCAGTGT